GTGTGGGTGGCGCCCAATCTAATACTGCTTTGACCTTCTCTGGGTCCATTTCAATGCCCTGTGGGGATATGCGATAGCCTAGGTAGTCTATCCTTTCCTGGTGGAATTCGCATTTTGAGAGTTTGGCATATAGGTGAGCGGCTCGCAGCTTCTTTAAAACCGCTCTGACAAGTTTGACGTGTTCTTCTTTTGTTTCGGTAAAGATAAGAATGTCGTCCAAGTAAACAAGGACCCCCTTAAACAGGTGCTCCCTTAGAACGTCATTGATTAATTGCATAAAGACTGCAGGGCCCCCTTGTAATCCAAATGGCAAGACTTTGAATTGATAGCACCCCATGGGGCAGTTAAATGCAGTCTTCCATTCGTCCCCTTCCTTGATTCTCACGCGATAGTAAGCTTCCCTTAGGTCTAGTTTAGAAAAAATTTTCCCTTTCGATAGGTGTGACAGCATGTCTTTCATGAGGGGCAGCGGGTATAGGTTGCTTTCACTGATTGTATTCAGGGCCCTATAATCCACGCATAAACGTAAAGAGCCATCCTTCTTCTCTCTAAAAAGGACCGGGGCAGCCACTGTAGGCTTGGCTGGCTCAATGAAACCTCTCTCTAGGTTTTTTTTTTATAAATCTTTCCATTTCCTCCTTCTCCTTTGGGCTCATGGAGTATAATCTGGGCTTTGGGAGTTTTGCCCCAGGCTTGAATTCAATGGTACAGTCTGTGGGTCGGTGGGGGGGGAGCTCATTCGCCCTCTCCTCACTGAAGACTTCAGCAAGGTCTCTATATTCCTCTGGTATTTCTGTTAATCTTTTTTCCTCTCCTATGGATGCTTTTTCTATTCTTGATTCTGGTAGCCTCCCTTGGGGTTTTAAGTCCATAGGGTCCCCCTTCGGGAATTTGATTTCTGTCGTCCTCCAATTTACCCAGGGGTTCCATTTTTTCAACCATTCCATCCCTAGAATCATTGGGCATTCCATACCTGGGGTCACCACAAACGTTAAGTCCTCTTCATGGTTGCCCAGGGAGAGGTGTATTGGTAGAGTGGCTAGGGTAGCTGGCACCCCCCCTGCTATGGATCCATCTAGCTGGCCAAAATGAGATTGGTTGTTCCAGTCTCCTGGATGGGATGCCCAGATTCCCCACGAGTGTTGGGCTAATGAGGCAGCGGGTGCAGCCAGAGTCTATTAAGGCTTTCACCTTCACAGCTTCGGGCATGGGGGGGATTAATATAGTCACTGTTTTGAAGATGGTGTGTGATGCATCCACTTACCAGGGGTTCGCCCTCCGAGCTGTCATCTGAGGCATCCACCGGCCCTGTGGTGTAGGCTGGAGTTCTTTCCGCCTTGGTGAGCAGAGTGGGGGGTTTCTGCAATTTCCATCATTCTCAATGGCCGTTGCTTTTGGCTTAGCTGAAAACTTTCCGGGTTTGTTGATTGGGGATCTGTCTGGGTTGTGCTGGCGGGCCTTTGAGCGGCATTCTACAGTTCGATGCCCTTCTCTTCCGCACTTGAAACACCCCATTTGCTTCTTGGCTGTATCCGATGATTTCACCGGTTGGTGTGTCAGCTCAGGCGGGGGGCGGCTCCATTGTTTTCCTCGGCGGTGCTTCTTCAATATGTCGATCTCTGCTTCCTCTGCCAAGACGTACCATTCCTCAAGTCGATGTGGGTCCCCTCGGGGCAGGCAAGCATCATATAGATCATAGTTTAGTCCGTCTTTGAAATGGCCAAGGAAGATGTCTTCTGGCCAATTCAGTTTGCTGGCAATGGCCCGGAATTCTTGTGTATATTCAGCCACCGGGCGTTTGCTTTGCCTCATCGTTTTTATCCTTTCACGGGCTTTGCGATCAGCCAGGGGGTCTTCAAATCGTCTTCTCAAAGAGGACATGAAATGGTTGAAGTTACTGAGTTCTGGGGCATTGGAGTCATGCAAGTTCACCACCCAATCTGCAGCCGGTCCATCCAGGGCAGATTGCATGATCCAGATGCGAGCTTTGTCGCTGGGAATGTCCTGCCCGTATTCCTCCATGTAGCTGAGTACTTGGGTTAGGAAAAACCCCAAGCGTGTTGGCTCCCCTTTGAATTTCACCTCCAACGGTGGACGTCTTGGAATGGATCGGTGCCTCCGTTGTTGGTGGTAATGTCTTCCGTCCAGGTTGCCATCTGTGGTCCGGTAGGGGGTGGGGGCTACTGGATCAGTAGCTGTCCCCGGGGTTGCAGGTTCCATGTCCCCCTCGGTGTTTCTCCCTTTGCGGCTCCAGGAGCTGGGGCGGCCGTAGGGCTCAGGATTCTCCTCTCCTATGGAGCTGAGAGTTCTCTTCATCAGGTCAATAGCTTTCTCTAGGATCCAGTCTGAGTACGGTGCCCAGCTTTCTCCCTCTTCACTTGCGTGCAGGGATTTCTCCATCTCCTGCTTCCATTCTGGTTGCTTGGTCCCCCGTCTCAGGGTCACCTTTCTTGATTCCTTTCCCCACTCACTTTTCTTTCCAACGCCCATTGACCAGCGAGGCTTGTGGTCCCGTGTCTCCACCACTTCTTCTCCCGAGGAATCTGACCTCTCGGATCCCAACATCTGGCAAGGTTCCAACTGGGTCAGCGGCTCTCTTTCCAGGGAGTTTTCCCCCTCTCTTGCTCCATTGTCTGACATGGTAAATTTTTTGCAAAATCCCCCGGCAAGGGTCTCCCTTCCAGGTGGATTAATTTTGCAAGTCCTGTCTAATGTAAGGACCCACCCCACTTTGCATCTTAAGAAGACAGAACTCTTGGAATAATTCTTCCAACAGGAATCCTTTATTAAGAGAAAATGGTTGCAGGCATGCTAGACAGGACTTGGGGTTCAAGCTCTCCCATTCAAGGTTTTAAGGGGTTCCCCAGTAGTCCCACCCAATCAACCCCCCTTCCAGTGATAGTTTCAGGTATCACAATTCCATCCCCTTTTTTCTTTCTTCCGTCTGGATGGAGACTTCAGATAACTACATGAAAGGCAAATACCCTTCTTTGTTATGGTAAGGTTCTTTGGTGCTAACGCTTTGAGGTTACAATAAACACACATTCAGCATTCAGCTCCTTAGAAGTATACTGAAGGAAGTGAGGGCCATAAAGCCCCTTTGTTCTCCCCCTTCTCTCCCTCTTATGGCAGAATCCAGAGAAGGCAGAATTGGGAGTTTCTATATTTGATAATTAAAGGTGAAATATAATTGGATTCTGACATTATTATTCAAAGCGTGTCTTTCTCTTAAGCCAGATGGGAAAAAATCAAGTCTTAAGTGCTCTGAAATTCAGGAAGGAAGACATCAAAAGGGAAATCTCCATATAGAGCAGTGGTTCTCAACCCTTTTAATGCCGCAACCCCAACCTGTCATAAGTCGAGGACTACCTAACCGGTCGTAAGTCGAGGACTACCCAACCGGTCATAAGTCGAGGACTTTCCCTGCCCAGGAGCACCACGCATGCGTGGTGCCACCCCCTGCACCAGCCAAGGCGTAGCTGGCAAGGGGCATCAATGGCGCAGGGCTACCACCGCCTGGGTCACCAGCTGGCCCAGCCCAAGGGAGGTAAGGCACCCGCTGGGCCCCATGTGCACCAGCAACACTCCCTGCACCCACCGGCCTCCCATCTTCCACCCCTGGCCCTTTTTTACTTACATTTTTAGTAGTTGCTCAGCAGGGAAGGGTGGAAGCTTCCAGACAGCTCACCTTCACTGCAGACAATTTGCAGCACTGTTTGCAGACTGGGGCTTTTGACGGGCTCAACAGGGCAGAGATAGCCTAGACAATTCCTATTGGCTTTTGAAAACCAATAGGAATTAGACTCTATACAAGAGAGTCTATTCTATTGGCTTTCAAAAGCCAATAGAATAAAAGGGAGTAGCACAGCTAAGGAAAAGGGGGGAAAATGGCTGACTGCGTTGTTTGGCCACCCCCGTGAAATGGTCGTTCGACCTCAAATGGGGTCACGACCCACAGGTTGAGAACCGCTGATATAGAGTAAGCTCTAAAGCAGTGGTTCTCAACCTGTGGGTCGGGACCCCATTTGGGGTCGAACGACCATTTCACGGGGGTCGCCAAACACAGTCCGCCATTTTTTCCCCTTTTCCTTAGCTGTGCTACTCCCTTTTATTCTATTGGCTTTTGAAAGCCAATAGAATAGACTCTCTTGTATAGAGTCTAATTCCTATTGGTTTTCAAAAGCCAATAGGAATTGTCCAGGCTGTCTCTGCCCTGCTGAGCCCGCCAAAAGTCCCATTCTGCAAACAGTGCTACACCAGTTGAGTAATCCTCGACTTATGACCGGTTGGGGGTCGCGGCATTAAAAAGGTTGAGAACCACTGCTCTAAAGCAAGATGGAAGCATTGGAAAAATGACAGTTTCTTAGCTCCTGCTGTCATCCTCAGTTAGACAGGATTTAGAGGGAGTTGGCTTTCTTCAATTTAATCAGATAGATATATTAATATAGGAGAAAGTGGTCTCAGAAATAACTAGGTCTGGAGCCTTATAAGGCTTTAAAAATGGCAACAAGCACCTTGAATTTTATCTGTACCAATGTAGTTTCTGAAGTAGTATGTTCACCCAAATATAGCAGAAACACCCATCAGTTGCATTTTGTATCAGTTGTAATTAAAATATTAGCTCAACTAGTAAGAAAATAAATATATATTGGACTACCAGTTTTTGAATTAGCTATTTTCTTTTTCCTTTGGGAATAATTATCTGCAGCAATTATTGTAAATAGCTTCAGACTTAAATGGATGAGAAATCTGAAAACTATAGGAACTTTGGCCAGACTGGGAAGTTGAAAAATATTCTAGAAAAGGCTGTAGTAAACTAAATTCATATTGCCAAAAATATCCATATCCATGAAATTTCCAAAGAGTGTTCACTATAGATGTTACGACTGAACTTATAACTATGATTTAAAACATAAACCAGTAGATTAATTAATAACCGGTAATCTTATTTGTATGCTTATTCCAAAGATAATAACAAAAATCAGGATATTAGTACTCACAAAGAATGGGATAAGACCAGCAGCTTTATCTGCATCTATAACTTTTCTCAGAGTTGACCCACGTACAGAAAATGAGTCATCTGTGGAAACTTGTTTAATTTTCACTCCCGCAATCAAGACATCTTTTTCAACTGATGAATGAGCCTGCATGAAATGGAAAAAAGTTTATCCTAAAATTTAAATTTCATATCAATAATGAGCTCAGATTTTACAATTACTAGACGATATAGTCAAATCTTGCTAATATAAATGAAAAATAATAAACAGCAAATATACCCAGTTCTGCATTTTTGTTATTTGGTGACTATAATGTTACATGCCTACCTTTACCAAATGTAACATAAAATAAATTTTATTCTATTAGACCATTCAATAAATTTAAACAATATAAAGTACAGTACAATTAATGAGCTACAAGTTCTAGTAAATCATACTCCTTATGTTTCAAATATCTGAATTTATATGAATGTTTTTATATTAGCACAAAAGTGTTACTATTAATTATTGATATATTTATAATTTCTTCGAGTAATGTAATGTGTTACCTTTTCAAGAATACTCATCTGGTGTTCTACAGCTATAAAATATTGAATCTATGCCCCTTTCTAGGTACATTTCTTTTAGAACATAAATATACTGCTTCAGTCTACTATCCATAATATATAACATAATTCAGGTGAGTTATGCTTAATGAGAAGGAAACAAAATGCTAGGAAATTCAGGGTTAGATTTAAAATATAATTTTAAAATTCAATTTATCATGGCATTATTGTAAAATAGGAATAGGAAAGTAGAATCCTATGGATAAATCTGAGTACTAAAATCTTCTCTGCTTGTAATATCATGATTCTTGATCCAAAAAAATGCATACTTATTACACATTGGGAGTAAAGCACTATATATAAAAATATTGAAACAAATATATTATAGGAAATATAATATATACAATTAGTGCAAAAACAAGTATGTGAACTTAGATATTTATATTTATTTAAGGGTCCTACCCAAAATGAATTATTATTGTTGTTGTTCTAAAAAAAACTTTGGAGGGAAAGAGGATGAAACAGATGCTTGAATTATTTGACATTTGTTCCGTGAACTTGCTTCCTTGTCAGATCTTATTTTTCTTCTTAGGTTGGTTTGTCTCCCCCCACACCCCATCTTGCTTCATGGATAACTTTAAAAGGTCAAAAATATCTTACAGAAAATCTTTATACAGACAAAAGAATCAAGTTGCATAGTTTTATATGCATTTTTGCAGATGATTTTCCTCCATAGTTTTTTTTTGGGGGGGGGGGGGAGAAAGCTGTAAATATATAAATATGATGCCATTCTCCATTATGTTCAGAAATTATAATTTTAATTAACTTGAATTTACAATGCAAACTAATTTTTTAACATACTTGGATAGTACAATGAAAGTTCAAGGATGCTAAAAAATAAGAAAAAAGCTTGAATAAATACACTATTTTTGTAATTTTGAGCAGTAGAGCTTATTTTCTCAAAGTTATCACTTTACAAATAGTTGAGATTTTTAAGCAAAAATATATACATTAAAAAGAGGATTTTTTATTCATTATAATGAATTTCAGAAATAGTTATTTACCTATTACTCATCCTCCCTGACCCTTGCAGCAACTATCCCACACTAAAGGAGTAACATACCCCTGATTTTGGGTGCATTTTTTAAATTAATCCATTTGAGGTAAGTTGATTCAAAAATTGTTGCCCTAGGACAAGGCTTTTCAACCAGTGGTATGGGTACCACCTGTGGTACATTGGCACTGGCAGGTGGTACATGACCATCTTAGAAAAGTGGTAGCGGGGGAGGGGAATGAGCTGAACCGGTGGCAGCACCACACAAGCCTGAGCGAGAGATGGCTGCAGTTGCAGGGCTGTCAGGGCTGAGTGGAAGCGCCAGGATCAGCACTTCTTCAGGGCTGTCAGGGCTCAGTGGAAGCACCAGGATCAATGCCAGCTCCAGCCGGAGCTCGGTGCTGATCCTGGTGCTTCTGCTGAGCCCAGAAAAAGCGCCAATCAGCTGGAATGTTGCAGCATCTCCAGGGTCTTGTGATTTACATTCAGATGCTTGGCAACTGATTCATATTTATGATGGTCACAGTGTCCCAGGGTCATGTGAAGTGAACAAAACCTGCTGCAACCACCCAGCAGATGGGGGGAATAAAAATCAAACACCCCCCACCCCATCCTGGTGCCAATTCTCAACAGAAATGCTCACAACAATGAAAACCTCAGACAGAGGAAAAGCGCAGCCGGGCAGGCGGGGAGGTGTCTAGCTCGGCTTGGGGGGCACTTTTTTCAGTGTCATTGTAACTTCGAACAGTTACTAAGTGAACTAATGTAAGTCGACAACTACCTGTACTTCATCACTTTTTTTTTTTTTTTTTGGTCATCAATTTTTTGACACCCTGCTAGGGGACTGGTGGTACTCAGATATTTCCAGATCCTAAAAGTGGTACAATGGATGAAAAGGTTGAAAAACCCTGCCCTAGGATACACTGAAGTTTGCATATAGACCAACATGAAAGTTATAGTAGCAAACAACCAACATGAAAGTTATAGTAGTATATAGACAAAGACCTTCCACTTGATTTTGTGCTATAGTTTATGTAATATTTCTGAGATTTCTTCAGCTTTTATATTTAGAATGTTGTAGGTGACCTTCATTGGTTTTTAGGGACTGTAATAAAATAGAATTCACTGGGGCCTATCTAATAAAATAAAATTCAATGTAAAGAAAAGTAAAGTTTTATACTTAGGCAAGAAAAACCACATGTACAAGTACAGATTAGATGAAACATGTCTCAGTAGCAGTAACTGTGAGAGGGATCTTGGAGTCCTAGTACACAATCACTGAAATATAAACCTGTGGCAGCAACCAGAAAAACCAATCAAATCCTAGGCTGCATTAACAGAAGGATAGAATCAAGATCATGTGAAGTGTTAATACTGGCCTTGGTAAGACCACACTTAGAATACTGCATCCAGTTTTGGTCATCACAATATAAAAAAAGATGTTGAGACTCTGGAAAGAGTGCAGAGAAGAACAACAAAGATGATTAGCGGTTTGGAGGCTAAAACATATGAATAACATTTGCAGGAATTGAGTATTGTGTAGTGGGTTTCATAGGCAATAACCAGACTGCCTTGGTACAACGGTGTTTATTAGAACAGAACTGTCTAAAACCAGCAAAATGCTTGCAATTTATACTTTCCGCCTCTAGGGCATCAGTGGATCACAATGTTAGCTTGCTTCTGCCTAAACTTGAATTCTTGAATATTCCCTCCAAAACAGATGGAGGTTCATTAGTTTCATAATACATTAAAATTCGTTCTTAATACATAACATTGAGTATGCCTATTCTAGGGAAAAAAGGACTATGGATGACATGATAGCGGTGTTCCAATATCTGAGGGGCTGCCACAAAGAAGAGGGCATAAACCTATTTTCCAAAACACCAGAAGGTAAGATAAGAAGCAATTCATGGAAACTAATCAAGGAGAGAAGCAATTTAGAACTAAGGAAAGATTTCCTGACAGAATGTGGCAGGATAGCAACCACCTCCAAGAAAGAAATATTTTGGGGAATATTAAAAAGCAGAATATTATATTTCCCCAAAGCAATAATGAAAAATCTTAGGCAAAGACAGCCCCAAATCTCCCTCCCCCAAGCAGAAATTAAGCAGAGGTCACCTTTTAGAAATGCAGATGTGATAATCCTATTCAGAGAAGTTGGAGCCAGGAAGCTTGGAACTGATAAGATTAGAAAGACAAAGACTTCTAAAATCTACATCCCCCAGCCAAACTCTAAGGACAGGAAACATGACCTTTAGGACATAATAGGATTAACCCACCAGTGCCAAAAAGGACATGCTCAAAAGCTCATGCACAAGGAACAGGAAACAACCTCAAATACAACAGCCCAAGAAAGTATAAAAACCACCACTCCCAACTACATGTGGGCAGCTGCTCCAGAGCCTCATGTCTTGTGGGTTCTACTCTTCAATAAACTACAATCTTCTTTTTAAAGCAGTCTCCATTTTGTTTATTCCCAGCTTGGAATGGACCCTGATGAAGGTTTTTCTTCTAACAATTTGGCACCCAGGATGGGACTTCAAGCTAACCTCTCCAGTGGACTGACACTGGGTAAGCCCCATCTTGCCGGCAGCAGACTCCTTGTGTCTGTGAATTGGTTTCCCAGGCCCTGCCCATGTGGAGTGAAGGTAGTAAAGGGAGTTTTGAGTTTGAGCTCAAGGGCTGCTTTGGAAAGAAGGTGAGTACCTCTACATTTTAACTTTCAAGCCCAGGAGAGTGAAGAAAATGTTTGTATTCCTGTATGGGTGAATGAGAAGGCCCTTTTCCCAATCACAATTGGATCTTGTTTTCTTTGGCCTCTCCTAACTGCCAACAGGCTCTGGAAAGCATTGGATTTGATCAGAGTGCAGGACCTTTTGTTAGGGAAAAGGGAAATGCTGTGTGTCAGAATCCAATTATTTTTCATCTCAAGTTATTGACTATGGAAAACCCCATTTCTGCCCTCTCTGGATTCTGTCATATGATGAAGGGAAGGGGTGTGAACAAAGGGGCTTTATGGCCCTCATTTCCTTCAGTACACTTCAAAGAGACTGGATGTGGATCCCACCAAAAGGAATAAACACAACAATGGGGCCATTAGCTTTCATGTACTCCTCTCTGAAGTCTCCCTTCCACCGGCAGTGAGGGCAAAGGGGGTGGAATTGTAACGCCTGGGATTGTTGCTGGAAAGATGGTGGGGTGGGGCTACTAGGTATCCTTTAAAACCTTGAACAATAGGGCTTGAGCCCAAGTCCTATCTACAACGCCTGCAACCATTTTCTCTTAATAAAGGATGCCTGTTGGAAGAAATATTCCAAGAATTGTGTCTTCTTAAGATGCAAAGTGGGGTAGATCCTTACATTAGACAGGACTTGCAAAATTAATCCACCTGGAAGGGAGACCCTTGCCAGGGGATTTTGCAAAAATTACAATGACAGAGCAAGTAAGGGAGAAAACTCCCCGGAAAGGGAGCTGCTGCCCCAACTGAAACCCTGCCAGATGTCAGTATCTGAGAGGTCAGATTCCTCAGGAGAAGAGGTGGTAGAAAC